GGATACCTTGTAGTGAAGAGGAAAAGGTTTGGGGCAGAGTCATGCCAGTCCCTTGTTGATTTCAGATAGGTGTCACATAAGTCTGACTGAATTTATAAAGCTTAAACTATCAAATTCTCAAGTTTAAAAAATATTTTCTACTCTAAGTTTTCATTCCTTGTCAAAAATTCCTTCTGGATTCTGCCTACCATCTTTCTTGATGTTGGTTTATAATATTGTATTTAGATATCTTCGAGGAGGATGGAAATCTGAAGCCCACTGCTTTTCTTTGATGTTAACCACGCCCCCACCAAAAAAATAACCAAGAAAATTCCACACTGGTTCTGCTGCTGAATCACTTTAAAGTCCTCTTTTCCTGCAACCCTTTGTCTTTTCTTCTTCCCTACATTTTTCTAGAGGTTCACTCCCTGAATATTTTTTCATAGTCTATAGGTGTTCTGGAATCTCACTGCAGCCAGGTTGAGTAGGAGAGTATTCTCTTTGTTCTTTATATTATATTATAGTCAGAAACAGAAATTGCAGCAGACAGCATAGAAGTTAGACAAGAGAAATCACCTCTAGTGGCTTAAGATTAGGGAGCTGTTTAAGAGCTTCGAGACGAGCATCTTCCAACAAAAATCAGCAGCCGAAGCAGCAACTGTAATTGCAACAGAAAACCATTATGGGTATGTTATTATTACCACGCTTAGGACATCACGCTTCCAGTCTCTGTTTTCTAAGGGATGTGGTCAGAGATTATGGGCACTCATAATAACTCAGATGTATAGAGTTCCTTATATTTATCCATAAAACCTTCCCATAAATCACTTCACATAATCCTGATAAACACCTTTAGGTTAATTATTGTTATTGGAAGCTCAGAGAGATATGTGACTTGCTCAAGATCACATATTTAGGATCTTATAGTGCTGAGATTTAAACTCAGGTTGGTTTGACTCTAGTTGTATAGTATTTCCATTAATAAAAGAATAAGAAAATAGCCAAAAATATCACCACCCAAGGGGTAGTGGTGAATATGATCTGGGAAAAGGAAAGGGACCATCTTAGTAAATTCTCCATTTGACATGCTACACAAACTCTCCATTTTACAGTCTAGGATAGAAGAGGTGCCACAAAACAAAAGTAATTTATACTGGGCTTTGAAACAATCTTAGTAAAGGAAGGGTTGCTTTGTCTGGTTATTAGCAGAGTTTTCCTTCTTGACTTCAACTAGACAGTGAAGCAGTTTTGCCTTCCTCAGGCTTGCCCAGTGGTTTAGCAGCAAGGGTCCAACTAGCTGCCAGTTGAGAGGAGAAAGTCTGCCTGGACTTTCACATTATGTTCAGATTTTTGTGGCATTTGGGTCATTTAGCAATGGCTGTGGAGCAGCACAGAGCAATTAGAGGTGACACCAGTCACAGTCCTGTGGCTCTGTCCAAGGGCATGGCTAGTGTGGTGCTGAGTTTTTGGTGCCAAACTGGGGAATCCTATGGAAAGAGTTGAGATACTTGGGTTGGCCATGAAAGCTCAGAGGGCTTGGAGCAATGGATATTTATCATAATTTGGTATGGACATGTTTAAATATTTTAACAACCAGTATAGGCCTACAAATTAAGTCTGGCAAATATCAACTCTGCTTACAGATATCTCACTGTGAGGATATTTTAAGGGGCCTAGTAAGGACGGTCAACTCTTGAGAAGGAAAACTGTAGAAAGGAATCAGAATAAGCCTTGTTTTGAATCGCAGTTCTATCTCTGGACTGCCTGTGTGTCCTCAGGAGAAGTACTTTTGAACTTCAGTTTCTTCATACGTACAACAGATAACATACCGAACTTGTTGGGTTATTGGAAGTTAAAATCAGATAGTGTATGTCAAGTCCCTGATATATAAAGGAGATGCTTAATAATTGAAAGCTGTTCTTAATCTTCCTTCAGTCTAAACCTTTCACTAAAGTTGGAGCATTTTTAGGAATAAGTAAGGAAGGAAGAAGGAGTGAGCAGCAGGATATAACAGTGTATGCAAAATGCAGATGGTGAAAGAGGGATGCTGCTGTTAAGCAGAGAAGAAAAATGAGCAACAAATACCCCCTTCATTCTTACTTAGTGCCCAAAAGGATCAGAGAGATCATCTAATCCTTGTCACTCATTTTGCAGTTGAAGAAATGAAAGAGAGCGGGGGGTGGGTAGGGAGGAAGAAGGAGAGGGCTTATCTGAAGTCACATAGAATATTAATGAGTATAAATGGTACTGAAACTCAGAAGCTCTGAGCCCCAGGTGTGCTTTCTTCCTTTATATCACAGCCTCCCTCCTGCCATCCTTGGTTTCCAAGACTGTCACAGGTTTTTCTTTAGCACTCTGGGCTCCTCCAGGGGCATGCATCACACAGACCTCTTCTCTCTTTGTATTGTGCCTGTACCTCAAGGAGTGCTTGTGAATTGGGACTGAGAGTGAAAACAAGTGTGGGAGGAAAGAAGGAAATGGAGTTTCCATGATGGGGCTCATAAGACCTTCTGCATCTTATCCGCATTCACAGCCACACACATGTCACCACCATTGCAAAGGGCTGTGGGAAATCCCAGGGCGGCCAACATTTCTCTGCTGTGCACAGGACAAACTCCACCTCAAGCCGGTCAGCCCTACCCGCATTCTACACACCCCCAACCTGCCATGTGCTCTCATGTTCCTTCATCGATAGGAAATGTCTTCCTAATTTCTAATCTTCGGTATCACTGCAGTTTGGAAGATCATCAGAACCAAAATTACCTTGAGTATAGGATTGGAGCATTCTGAGACTTCTAATGACTAGGGAAGTAGTTCAATCTATTTCAAGGGACAAAGGGGGTGTTATTTGATAAATAATAACAATAAAAATTTCAATTAATCAATATAACTCTTTTGTTCCCCCTTTACCTCTTTTTTTCACCGCAAATAAGTTTAGCTGAATAAATACAGAAAGAAGACCATCAAAGACCTCTTTTCTTCTTTCCCTTTCTTCCTTACTCTTACCTTCTTGAAGTGCATGAGTTTTATGGGAGGCATGTAAATTGTTTCAGGAAATACTAAAGTTGTACATTTGGAAAAAGTAATTCTGTCCTTTTGGTGTTGGGAGACACTAAATTCTTCATCTGCATAGGCTATAAAGATACCAAGAATAAGAAACATCAGTGCATTTGGACTGGTAGCTTAGTCTGGAGACAAGAGTGAGAATGAGCAGATTCCTTGATCATCAAGTTAGTTCTGTGAATTCATATCTTCAATTCTTCACTCCTGTTTCCTGGTAATGAAGCACTTACCCTCATGCATTTATCTTTATTCTTACCTTGTTTCTCTCACAATATCTATACCCTATCTTCTCCAAATCTGTGTTTAAGCCTTTCCCCCCCCTAGGTTTGGGTGTGGGCAGGGCACAGAGGGCAATGGGTACCGGAATACCCACTTTAGTCTTGTTCTTTAGGTGGAAAACAGAACAGCTGTCAGTTATCAACTGGAAATAAATGTCTCATCTCTTTCCCTTACTGTAGCTCAGAGTGGGCTGTGTGAGTCATGATTTGAGCTGGGACCAAACTTCCTCTCCATTTTCTATTAGAACACGAATAATAAACGTTGAACTAAAAATGACTGTGCTGGATTTCCGTGGCCGTTACATGATGCTTAATCACAGGGTTCCAGCTAACTTCCAGAGGACAAAGGAGTGTGGAGGAAGTGTTGTGAAGAGTTTCTAAACTCCATGGGGTGCCCGTGAGTGAGCAATCATTTGTTAGATCTCGTTCTATCCCCTCTTGTCATATCTTTAGCATGGTATCTCTGACAATATTCTCAGTAGAGTTAGATAATAAACCTGACTGAGCCTCTTCCTAACAATGCTTCACGTTGCAGGAGAATCACACCCAATTGTTAGGCCTCATCACTCAAGCCTAAACAACTATTAAATCTGAAGCTTGGACACGCAAGTTGAAAATCTCCAACCTCTAACCTTCTATCCTTGGCACTGCCATGTACTGTCCAAAAAGTCCCCTTGCCTCTCTACTCAGAGCCATTTGTGGTAGACAAAGTCATTAACACTTCCCTGAATATATTTTTCAAATCCGCATAGTTTTATCAAACCTCTTCTGTGGGGCTCTTTTATCTTGTCCTTGTCCGGCACCGGTACCCAGCTCTCCTCCACCCCCTGATGAGCTCAGTAGCAGAGGCATGGGAAAACCCCAGTGTAGAGGATCTTTCCACTTTTCTACCCTCCCCAGAACTCATGTACATGGTGACATGTTCAGCCTGGCCACCACTGAGACACGGGATGTCGGAAGAGCACAGAACCCCACCTCAATCCTGGATCATGTTGGTCATTAAGAGGTTGACATATTCATATTCCCATCTCTGAGATATACAGCCTAAAAACCAACCCAAGCAGGCGGTTATCCATCTTGAGCCTTCTAGTTAATATAGCTCGGCATTGTCCAATTGTGTAAATTCTTCCTCATACCTGACCCCAATATACGCTGTTGTAGTTTATCTTAACTTTCTTTTACAACCTCTGAGGAAAGTCGTCATACCCACAAAAAAGCAAACATTTTTAAGTCTGGGTATTCCCAAATAGTCAGAGTTGTGGATGCTGGAATGGGAACCACCAGGAAGCTAAGAAACTTCTCTCCTTGAGAAGCTTTCCAAATTAGAATCAGATTGAAATTCCAGTAAAAGTGACAGCAAGACACAGACAGGAACTTCTCCAGTGGGGAGGGTGTAAGATTCCCAAATACTGATTCAGGTCATCAAAGGAACCGAGTTTTGTGGCCCTAGAAAGAGGACCTCTCTGTTAGTAGGAGGGAGGAATAAAAAAGGAAAAGGGACCTCTTTGCTCTTAGAGACAGTCATGAAGCTTTTAAGGCTGAAGTCAGGGTTGGGAGATTGTCTCCTGACTTTTCCCTTTTCTTTGCAGCCTGATTTTCCTCCCATCTTTCCCTCCTGTCACTCTCCCAGCACCATCGTAATCAACAGAGCCTGAAAATGGAGGAGGAAGTTATACTCACCTGTCCGCTGATAGAGAGCCGAGTCTGGGCCAAAGCTGTCATCCAAGCTGGGCCAAGCCCCTCCCAGACATCGGGACAGGGCTGAGGACTGTGAGAAAGTATCATATTGCATACTGCACCTTTCTTTCTGTCCTCATTAAACTGCTGTTGCCAGCTTGAAAGGGGAAGCGGAAATGAGAAGACACGCATACACACATGCACCACACACACATGTGCACATGCCTAGTCCCCGCCTCCTGCCCAGCCACATCCTTTGCTCTTGCTCAGGAGAGTGAAGAACAAAATATCTGAAGTCACTGAGCTCAAGGCTAGGGAGCCCCTTGTGTCAGAGAGCTGCCTTGGTCTTTCCAAAACAAGAGATTTTTTTCCTGTTGACGGGAAGTACAGCCCATGTAATGAGTATGTCTAGGAAAGCCTTCCGTATCACTGGAATCCACTGCTGTGAATAAAGCTTTCCGTCCCTAGGAGGAGAGGTGTGTAAAAACAGTAAAGCTCTCTCCCCCAAATTATCAGACATTTATCTCAGAGGAGAGGCTTGTAGCCCTTTCACACACCTGTGAGGGCTCTTAGCCAAAACGGGCCTGTTTTCGTAACTCTTTGCCATGCTGCTAAGTTCCCCAGAAGCTTGTTTTCAAACCCTGCATATCATTGTAAGCAACTTTGTTTTTCTGTGTTGACTTCTTAGCCTGTTTATTTATGTTCAAACAATTTCAAAGGTTTTCTGTTTTTAAATAAATGATTGCTGTCCCAAGGAATTTTTAGAGCTGGATTTGAAAACATCTGTCACATCCTAGAAATGTGCTCAATGTATCGGCTTTCAGTTCCAAGAAGCTTTTATCAAATTTTGAGAGGCTTCCCCAATCCTCCATCACTTTCACCCCCCTCCTAGCTTTCAGCATTGTTGACCACCCCTCTCCTCACTTCTACAGTCTCTCCTTATACTCTCTCCCTGTTTCTGTTTGATGTTGCAGCTTTCCAACTGTCTCCTATCTCCCTCTCTGGACCTATTCTCTTTCCTTCCCTGTATCATTTTTTATGAATATTTATCACAAATTTTATTGTATGAGGCATACCTCTACTATGCTAAACGTGACTGATTTTCACATGATGATTATTTCTTTCTAATTTTATGGCTCTAACTACAGTTGGATCTCTTTTTCTCACGTTCCCCAAATCCATTTCCAATTGCCAATAGGATGATTTTGTTGGATAGCCCCACTATAGCTATATATGCTGGAAAGATGCCTAAATAAAATTCCTGCTCAGCAAATTAGATTCTCTAAACAGTATTTTCTTCAAGGATAATATGAGTAAAATAATACTACTCTGTCTCTTTGTCTAACACACACACAAATACACACAGCACATCCATTCACATGGGGGGAAGAAAATGTATAACGCATCTTCCTTACATAGCATATGCTTTTTTTGAAAATGGTTTCAAAGTCAACAAGTAAAAAAACCGAACCCAGCACTCCCTTGGTCTATCACTATTCTTTCTGTAAAAATTAAGTATGAAAACTAAACTAATGGAACTCTGAAGATTCTTTTTAACCCTAAGCTTCTGAACTTAGTTCTTTTCCTGCACAGTTATTTTCAATGTGTTGGGGACATAAGGAGATCACCATCTCTACAGGAAGTTTGTAAATATGTGAGGGCATTTTAATATTCAGAGTTATTTAGTGTCTGAGGGACAAAGATGCTGGATGTCTTTGAAGGCACAGGACTGTTCAGCATAAGGAATGATTGTCTTGGGCAACATGCCAACATTTTGATAAACTTTGGTGGTTTTATGGTTAGGAGAGTAGGAGCCAGATGCTGGCACTAGGTGTCTCTGTAGTCTTGGACACATTCATTAATATCTCCAAGACTCAAAGTCCCTGTGTGCAAAATAGGGATAATCTTCCTAAAGGAGGGGTTGTAAAGTGATAGGAATAAAGGAATGTTGAGTATTTATTCCAGGGCAGAACTCAGGGCAAATGTTCAACAGACTGCAGCTATTTTTTAAGGCTCCTTAATACATTGTTTTCAATTTTTTTTTATTGTTTTCAATTTATCTAGCATGCTGTGTATCTGAAATTATCAAAATTACTTCATTCACCAAATACACCATTTCACAAGCAAATTTCTAGAGTTTTTCTTTTGTTTGTAAATGGAAAAAAAGTTACTATTTTTGATTTCTTTTGTAAAGAAATGTTTTCTTCTTTATAAGCAGTTACTGAAAGACAAGGGTGAAGGCTGTGTGATTCTTAGGAGGAGAAGGAAGTCCAAGGTATTCTGTTTGTCTTCTTCCTCAGTTTCAGAGTATTTCTCTCTCTCTCATCAACCCTCCTTCCATCCTTGGAAAACATTAAATGCCCCTGTATCTTTGACACTGTGAAGTTCTCTGATACTATGATCTACGGGACCCCTGAGAACTTAACCAATTGCCCTTCATGTAGTAGATTCAGGATTTCAGAAGGTTATGAGATTTTGTCCATTTTTCTCTTGGTTAAATATAAAATCCTTATGCTAAGTGAGATGACAAGCTGGCTCTCTAGTGCCTACGCAACTCCGCAGTTTACTGTTTCAAAACGTGGCTACTTTGTCATTGGAGGGTGCCCTTCTTGTGCTTATGGAATTTAGTAAAAACACTGAACTGGGAATAAAAGAGCCCTCTGACTTGAACACTAGCTATATGATGGTTACTTAATTTCACTGGGTATCAATTTCCTCCTCTGACATACAGAGAAACATTTTCTCAGATTCTCTTGCATCTAGAAATTCGCAATATCTACACATACAATTGGTCTCTACTCTCATATAACTGTGTATGATGGAATGAAAATGGTAAGTGACAGATGTTTCTTAAGAAATCACTATAAAGGTAATAGAGAGTATATTAGGGAAAAAAAACCTTGTCCTTTCTAGAGCCAAGCAACAATTTCTTTTCAGTGATATTACTGGCCAGACATGTAAGCTGATAACACTGAGAAGCAAGAAGAGTTTATGAACACTGATGTGTCCACTAAACAGATGTGCTGCAAGTTAGGCATGAGTTCTGAAGCTAGAGAACTGAGAGCTCACCTGGCAGGTTGCCCATTGGACCTGGGGCAGAGCCAGGACAGCTGCCTGCAGGGACTGTCCTGTGACAGGGAAGCTGCTGCTCACAGCCCCTGCTCTGGGCCGAGCACCTGGGCCCCTCTGCCTGGTCCAGATGCCAGGAGTCTGCTTCCATTTCAGCTCTCAGCTTTCTCCTTTCTCAGATCCTGGGGTTTCTAAACATCCATCTTTCACTGATTTCATTTTTCACATTTTTCAATTGACTTTCAATTGCTAATGTGGGAGTCTGAGTGGTTTGTCTCCATCCTGTACCAAGGGCTCAAAATAGGGAGGAGTGGATAGAAGCCTGCAGGAGAAGGCAGTGGTTCAACTCAGCAAGGGTTTTTTTTACCTTTCTCTAGACAGAAAAGGGTCCACCAGAGTCACCTTGCTTTTCTCTCTGCTTCTATGTTCTAGGAGTAAAGGGTTCCAAGAAATGAGATTTGCTAACTTTTAAAACACACCCCTTCTTCTGAATCACTCAACTCAATTGCAGGGAAGTTCTTCCTTATGTTTTGTTGTATCTTCCCTATTTGTAAATCCAGCGGAACTGAACTGCCATCTGTTGCAGGCTCTGAAGAGGGTATTCCTTTACATCTGGAATTCTAATTCTATTCAAATTGTATTTTATTGGGTACCTTCTAAGTGCAGAAACAAGCAATCTAAAATGCTATCCATTAGAAGGACACTTAGACTTTCTAGTGTGATCAAATCATCTTAGGATCCACATGATTAACAAAAGAAAAACCTGATTCTTTAAGGCACATCTTCTTGGAACTTATAATAATCTGATATGAAATGTGACTCTCTTAGAAGAAGAGAGTTTGTATTTCTCAAATATATAAGTCTATTTTTTTTTTTGAGGAGCATCCCAAGGAAATTAAATTACTTTTGGGAATGTTGTCTTCCATTACAGCCACTTCAGTTCTGTCTTCTGTAGATTAAATAGTGACATTCGTGTTTTTCATCATACTCAGATGGCTTGAACACAGGATTGTTTGCCTGCTGAGCCTATGTTTTCTTGTTCTTCTGATAAGTCTGTTTAATTTAGAAACACAGGGCCTCATTGGGGTCAGGTGTGATTTACATAGTGAGTGCTCAGGGGTTTATAAACACACTGAAGGGGACAGAGCCCGAGGCCTACAGGATGTGCGTGTAAGTGCAGTGGAGAAGGAAGGATGTAGGGATTTGGTAGGAGGGAGTCAGGGGCTTTTTGGAGTTAGGTCAACTCAGTGCACTTAATCTGGGACAACTCCAGGGACCTGAGGAACAAGAAATGTGGAGTAATTTTCAGCTTGGTCTCCCTACTGAGAAGAAAAGCGGGCTTCTAGAGGCTTCCTCTCTGTATCAGGTACCTGGGACAAAGTAAACACTCATAGCAATAGCATAATTGGTGGTGGAAAAAGGAAGAGAGGAAGGACAGAAAAGTAATACAGATTTTTAGGTGAAAGAGCATTTAAGGTGGGTTGAACTGTGGAGAAATTATGGAGCAAGTGTTAGGGAGCTTGAGACCTCATGGATTTGGGGAACATTTAAAACTGGGACCTCTGGGTCTAAAATCTTAAAAAGGATAGGCATTAAAAGCCATGACAGCAGGTGGAATTTGGAGGCAGCTGTAGATTTGAATTAGGGGGAAAGTTGTAGGGTGAGGGTAGGTAGGGTTGAGAGTGTGGTTATGGTGAAATGGGGGCAGGCGCTAACAGATTGGAGGAAGAGGTGGCTCTTTTCTAAGCTTCCTTCTATGTCTCATCTGTACAAAAGGGTTGCCCTGAAGCTCTGAGGCCACTCCACTAGGCTTGGCCTGCATTCCTCAGCCACAGTGGACTAGATTCCCTGGTCGGCAGAGTGGACATAGGGGCAGAACCTATGATAGACTGGAGAACCACAAACCTGGATTTCTGGAAAGACGTTGGACATTTCATCAGTGCCGTGTCAGTTAATGAGAGGAAGTGGGATAACTGTCCGCTGTGACCAGAGGGAGCACTGCAGGTGGGAAACGGTGTGTGTGGAGCCCCAGCTCCAGGTCTGTGTGGGAGCCTTGGCTCCAAGGAGAGTCCTTTGTGCTAGGTTTAGAG